AAAGGCAAAAAGATGACACACGAATTAGCAAAAGGCTATTTGTATTGCATTAATCAGTGGTAAGCATAAGCACACAGTACAGTGTCGAGGGGATCTCGTGCTTAACCYTTACAYGCTTATRAGCTCACTSGACTACCTACCTCCCCTCAAAGAGTACGTTAAGCTTTTGGGGGAGTGACAATAAGAAACATCAAAAAGGTGAAAAGGCATACTACAGTATTACAATAATGCCATTAGCAATCCCCCATACAAAAGTACAAGCATAGCCCACCCATGACACACACTTGGACGCTGAAATGGCGGCTGTAGGCACGGTGGTTGGCGCTGCGAAGAGAACACTTGTTACAAGGTGTCACAAGATCATTTGAGGGCCAAATCCGCCCTCATCACGATCCTTTTTACAAAGTTTGGTAGAGAATTAGATAGGTAATCGATAATCCTATTGAGCAGATCAAATTTGGGAGGCTTCATGGCTTTTTTCTTGGTTCTTGTGTTTTTTCGTAAGATGGAGGCTCAAGCTACCATGTTTAAAGCTGATGGTGTATCTCTTGCTGTAGGCTTTAGTAAGTTCGTTTTTGAGCCAGATGCCATAAACACATTCAGACGGTTCTCTGCAACAGCATTGGAACTTACATCAATGGAGTTGAAAGGGTCAAGAGCATATCAGGGTACTACTTTTGGACCCAAATGCAGAAAGATAGTCGTGAGCCAAAGGAACTCAGTGACAATTCTATGGAAGGAGTACGATGTCGAAGTCAATGACAATTGTTCTTAGAGGTAGAAGGTGCCAAGTAAATTCATGGCGAGATCAGAAGATCTCTGTTCAATTGTCACCACAATAAGCTATTTCTCATGGTAGTCACAAGAACACTTGCCCATCGTCAAGGAGTGATATCAGCGATCATTGCCACAACAGAGCCTGGAGACTAGTTGATGGAATCTCTAATGAGGCCTCATTTAAGGGGGAGGGAATGTTACGGACCCTAGACCCAACCTGAGCCAAGAGATGCTTGGCCCTCTAAAGGTTGTCAACGACGCAATCATAACCAATTCCAGAGTCGGTTACCATATACCATATCTGGGTAGTTATAACATCCATCTAATAGGCTCTATAAATTGTATTCAATCACAAGTAATGGAGATTATTGAGTATTGATTTGATATTTTCCATCATTTCCATCTCTCCCTGAATTGGTTGACTTGCCTCTTTGAGCGGTGCTCCCGCACTACAAACTCGAGAGGTTGTGTTTTTCGTTGTTCTTAGAGAAAGGCACATATCGTTATAGGGTTGAAATATTGGGCTTAGAACTTGTTCATGATCCGGTGGATTGTTGGTAGGGTCGATTGGGTCCTGGATCTCTAGACGTTGTCATTGTTAATGGTTTCCAAGAATGAGGGTTAGGTGTTCTCTACACTCTTTTTCCTCTTTTTCTTCTTATGTGGACAGTAAAGGGTCATTTTTTTTTGGAAAAATTCTCAATTAGTAATCTGTACTTTGGCCCTATTGTCACTTTGGTACTCAAACTTTAAAACATGACAATTCAGTACTCAAGATTTCAAAATGTATCAATTCAATACCTGTCATTAATTAATCCGTTAATCAATCGTTAAATAATATTTGAAAAGACACAAATGCTCTTTGAGTGTTATCTAATTTTTTTTATTAACCATCAATATATTGATAATAGTCTCCAAAAGTTAAAGTTATGTCTCGGTGGGCATTCTATGATCCCAACTTTAAGAGGCAAGATTTGAGACTATTCATTCTTTATCAATAAGAAAATTAAATGATTGTCTTTTCAAATGGCACGACAGGTAATAGATTAGAACGTTTTAAAAGTTTGAATGCTAAATTGTCACATTCTAAAATTAAAATTCGGTGGCACTCGTTGTGAACTATAGGGGCGTTCTAATAAATGACCCATGAATTATCTACCTATTAGTCATCCAAGAGTCATATGTTAGTATCTACTGGCTGCCACTCATTGTGAACTGTTTGGTAGTTGGTGTCTACCAACTCTGTTTCACCGATAAATACAGAGCCAGGCTCCTCGATKGATCAGATACCARGGAAGGAACAATCAACAATGGAAGTGAAGGYCTTGGAAACCACCCTTGTATTTCCCTCTCMACCACCKTTCGACCATGATCATGTCCTCCCCCTCTCCCACCTYGACAATGACCGAAATGTTCWGGTCAACTTTCGTTATGTCCGTGCCTACGTTAACTCTCCCACCAAGGATGCTACTCCCGGAGCTGATCCCATCCGCGTCATCTCCGACGCTCTTTCCAGGGCCCTCGTCTACTATTATCCCTTCTCTGGCACTCTCCGCCGCCGCCMTACCGACTCCCGCCTTGAACTCCTCTGCACCGCCGGGTCGTTTGCGCCACCGCGAATTGTTCACTTGCTTCGGTCAATTACCTCGACGACCTTGACGCTCATTTTCTAGAACAGTTGGTACCCGATCCCAACTCTGGCAACGAGCTCCTCCACCCCTTCAACCTACAAATCACCATCTTTAAGTGCGGGGGCTTCACCCTCGGCGCTTCAATTCATCATTCCATGTGCGATGGACTGGGGGCAACTCAGTTCTTCAACGTCATGGCCGAGTTTGCTCGCGGGGCTACTCAACCTTCAATCCAGCCCGTCTGGGACCGCTCTAGTCTGCTCGGACCAAGAGACCCACCTCGTGTTGRGGTACCTTTTCATGAGTTCCTTTGTTTGGACAAAGATTTCTCACCATACAACCAAACGCCCGGTCCTCTTGTTCGTGAATGCTTTCCCGTTAAGGACGACTGCCTGGAGAGGTTTAAAGCGAAGCTTTCCGAGGAGTCTGGGTCGAGCTTCACTACATTCGAAGCTTTGGGAGCTTTCCTATGGCGGGGCAGGTATGTGAAATGGGTCCAGTCCAACTACCATCGATTCACAGATGACAGAATCGATGCCACCGAAACTTGAACATTAAATTTACAAACCTACCCATCCATTAATATGTGGTTCTGTTTATTTGACGAACAGGGTTAAAGCCTCTGGAATTACAGGGGATGAAAAGGTGAAGTTCGCCTACTCAATCAACATAAGGAAACAGCTAAAGCCGGCACTTCCCGCCGGATACTGGGSCAATGGGTGTGTGGCCATGTACGTGCAGCTTAGTGCCCGAGAACTGATAGAACGGCCTCTTTGGGAGGYAGMAGAGMTGATYAAGAAGAGCAAACGCAATGCCACRGATGAATACGTGAGGTCATTCATCGACTTCCAAGAGCTACATTACGCAGAGGGGATCACGGCCGGGAAGGGAGTGAGCGGGCTCACAGATTGGAGGCACTTGGGTCATTCTACGGTTGATTTTGGTTGGGGAGGTCCAGTTACTGTTCTGCCTCTGTCCAGGAACCTACTCGGCAGCGTCGGACCTTGCTTCTTCTTGCCTTACTCTTCTACCAATAATGGGGCCAAAAAGGATGGATTTAAGGTTCTGGTGTCTTTGCCAGAGTCGGCAATGCCTGCTTTCAGGGCGGAGATGGAAATATTTAGTACTGGGTAGGGAGGGCTTCAAGCTTTATCCACTATTCGTTTCTATTTCCATGTAGTCAATTCATAATCCTGCTGGTTTTCATACGGATCCTGTAATTCTGTTCGGTGATGGGCTGTGACAGTCAATTGCTCTGTAGACTCCCAGTTAATAGTAYTCCAATAATAATTCAGTTCTAAGTATTTCATGAACCGATTGAAATTTCGATTAATTCCAAAGGCTTTGCATTGATGGACCAATTTTTGTGGTATGTATCGTTGTTTGGTTCCCAAATGATCTTCAGTTGGTTTTTGTGTATTTTCACCTGAATTCTGGTATATCCTTCTTTGCATTGCGTCATGGTAAGATCATTTCCTGTCATGTGAGATTGTGAAGTGGTTTATACTTAATACGCCCCTGGATGGATTATGAGTGACAAAAATGGGAAGAAATGTCATCCTGGCAATTATTTATTGCATAATCCATTGATAAATTACTTGTTCCTTCCCTATGGACTTTGGTTGGCCAATTACCAAATTTCAAAACTGTTGTTTTGGTCTAAGTGTCTTTAGTGTTTAGTGGTTGGGCTGTTATCCTTTTATCATATTGTAGCTGGAATTATAATTTTCAGTTAGTATGTTATTTTTGCCATGATTTAAGTACTCAACTGTTTTTCCTTTGATGCAATCTGCTCAGGTCTTTCAGCCTTGGATTCAGCAGAAAAAACTTGCAAATGTAAAGCATAAGCATGTAATACCAATGATTTTAAAAGATTTGAAAAACGGTTCATTGGGGAGGCCCCTTGATGATGACTGTGAACCTGATGAAACTGTTAAATTTCCTTCTATTCTTTTTCCTTTCTCTTGGCCTTTTGCAGGAGGAATTGTTAGATGCTCCAATTCTACTTGATAACTGTCCTGTGAATAAAATCACAGGTTATTTAAGGTAATTGATACAGATTCAGATAATTATCTTTCATATGCTGAGTTGAAAGTACTGATCATAGGAATTCAGTTTGGTGAGGTAAATATGAACGAGGACAATGCTGCAAACAAACTAATGAAGGATCTTGATACACCTAATGATTCTTGCATTGATGAGGATGAGTTCATCCACGGAATATCAGAATGGCTTAAGCAAATTAAGCATGCTGTGGCTTCTGCTTCCTATAGAGGATTTCATACATTGAAGTATATTTGATGACTTTCAAAGATTAGGTTTGCATTTCTGTTCTCTTTAAAAATTTATTGATGTAATTTTCCACTGTTCCTAATTATTATAATGTTGTGATATTAATGCTAAGAGCATGTCAAGAAAGATGCTTGGGCTTTGGCCTTGGGTTAGGCCAAGCCTGAGCTTGGGGTCTGTATATTAGGATTGGGCCTAGGTTGGCCTCGAACCCTGCCCAACCGACCCAGTTGCTAGTTGCTTCATTGTAATAAAACAATCCTTTGGGGTTTGGGATTCATTCATTTGACTATACCTTTTACCTCTTAATTGTTCTTGTTCAGTTTACAAATAATATGGGAAAACCCCTGGAGTCCTTACCTCCTTGGGTGACATAAGGTGCAGGGCTTTTGTGTTCAAAAACGATATCCTTTGGAGATGAGGACAAGTTCTGTACAAAAGTATGTGTAGTACCTGTGGGTTATCCCTCCCAAAGGAAATCCTTTCCATATCCTCAAAACTTGGAAATACCAAAATGGCTAAATCTAATCAAGAATAAGAGATGCCATGTCTTTACACATACTTGAAGGCTCTTTTCATGTCAAAGTTTCTCTCGTTGCTTTCCCTCTGGTCCCCCAAAACACTGCAAAGGGGATGATATCCCAAAAGATCTTAGATTAGCAGTACCAGCATAGTTGGCCATTTTGGCAATATATCTTGAAAATGTTCTAGGCTGAACTAGTTTTTCATAGACACTGAGAAGAAAATGTTCTGGCCATTTTGGCAATATATCTTGAAAATGTTTCACATTCTCCTCATTCTTTCCAAACATGACATATTTATTTGCCATTTCAGAGCCTCTATCCTTGAAAATATGCTTATAAATGGATCTAGAAATTAGAGTTCAGTGGGTGCCAAGATCAGTCAACAATACCATTGCTACCTTAGGGTAAACAGGGATCAACTGTTCAGAGCTGTATTAAATTTTGTTGTTTCTCTTGGGGGATAGGTAGATCTTAGTCTTTCCTAGGCTTGTAAATAGCTCTGTAAATTTGCTGTCTTGTTTTAATAAAAATTCAGTTATATCCATAAAAAAAAATCATTCTAAATAAACCCAAATGGATATTCTCTCTTGTGAAACTACTTTCCTTATTAACTGAAAATTCATTGCATCGACTCAATTATCATAATTACCTAGTTAATTGACTTGGTAAAGTTTCACTAGTTGGCTACACCAAGTAAATGACTTAGCAGTTAGCAACTTGAGTAGTGCAGGTTTCAAAGGTTTAAGGATATCCTGTAAGAATGATAATTTCCTTATCAACTGTAAACCCACTGCATTGGTTCAATTTATCAGAATTACCTTGGTATTTGATCTGGTAAAGATTCTCTAGTTGGCAACTCCAAGTAACTGACTTGGCAACTTAAGTAAGGCAGATTTCAAAGATTTAAGGGTATCCTGTAGGAGTGACAATTGCTTTAACAGTAGTTCATGATGCATTCTTATGCGGATCCATTCAATATATTTTGATACATATATGCAGGCCCTGAGTCAAAATCCCATTTTCTTTTGGTAAATGAGTCAAAAACTTAAGTGATTGAGAAAAACATGTTCTTACATAGATCTCACATAAAGAAGCAAGCTAGCTTCATAAAATGAATCCATTTCTCAATATCTTCTATATGTTGGATCTATAGTAGATCATGTTTTTTTTCTCAGCCATTTACCAAAAAAACAGAGTTTTTTCTCAATCACTTGAGTTTTGACTATACCCCCCCCCCCCTCAAAAAAAAAGAAAAAAAGAAAAAAAAAAAGAAAAAATGGCTATCATACACCATGCATGGAAGTAAATGAACATCAAACAATTAATATCATAATTGGTGTCAGGGCACATTATAGTAACAGCCCAAACCCAACCCATCATAAATTAACAAGCTCTCCAACAAGTCAATTATCATCAATCAGTGTTTCCTCCAAGCAGCATGGAGGCTTTCATGTAGTTGGTCTTTGTGGACAAGATGCTCACTGTTAATCATCTTAATCGTAGAGGGCTGCAGATCTCTAACATATGCGTGAAGTCTTAAGAAGCAGAGGAATTGATTGAACACCTGTTTTTTATAGGTGTTGGGACAACCGGCTTGTGGGATTACCACTGTTTTCTTTTTTATTTGGCTCGGTTGAGACTTGAGATCCCTTCGGCTTCTATCTTTGAGGTTCTTAATTCTTGGCCCCGGTTTTCATTGGCATCTAGGAGTTCTACCTTGTTAAATGACATTTCCTTTGCAATATTTTTCATTGGCATCTAGGAGTTCTACCTTGTAAACCCAGATAACTGCATTTATCCGGATAAATAACTTATCAAAAACGAACAGAGCCTTAAAAGCATATTAGAATTGAATCCTGCCTTAATTAGGGTTAAGTATTTGGAGAAAACTTGGGATCTTTTGAAAATAAAATAAAAAAAAAAACTGTTAGAATTTAGAGCTTCCAGCATATGATACATTATGCGCACTCCAAACAGCCAAAATTTTTCCAAGGATTTGGGGATTTGGGAGGGAGGAGGCTATCTCTTCTATCCTGGACATTATTTGATCACCAGCTAGCTGGCCATGCCGTTCATGCATGCACATGGCACCTAACATGCTCCTCTTACCAAACAAGAACACCATGTCTAACCCCATGCTAAAATCAATGCAAAGCATACAAAGCATGAAAGCATCCAACCCATTTCCTAGCTCAAAAGGAATAGAATTGTCAATGAGTTGGGTCATTGTATAATGCAAAGCATACAGTATAAATATATACAAAATACAAGGTTCTGCACTCTACATATTTGTACTTGTATTTCTTCCAAATTAAGCTTAAGGTTGTATTTGCTTGCAATGTAATTTTATTTATATTAGTATAAATGCATAGGAGTACTGCAAATGTAAAAAATGCAAATTCTTGTTTAATTTTGTTTTGGATTTTACTTTGTTTTGCTTCATGTCTTAATTTACTTCATTTATACTCTAATCAAACAAAATAAACTAAAATTTAAAACAAAAATAGGTCAGAATATAACACTTTAATCATTTGCACTGCCATGATTTTGCACCACTGCAAATTTATTTGCATTGCAACCAAAGACAACCTAAGAGGAAATTTTAAACTTTCCAAAAGTTTCTCTTCACTTGATTTGAACCTCCAACCTATAGTTTGAAAATAAAGCCCGTAAAAGTTGTAAAGTTTTGCAAACAAGTAAATATATTATCTAATTTTTGAAAATACCCCAACAGCCTTCTCTTGAAAATTAAGGGGTCGTTTGGCAAGTCTTTTTGGGAAGATCTTCTAATAGCTCTGACGGTCAAAAGATACATTGAGCTTTTGCATGAAGATCAGAGCAGCTCGAAGCTAGTTTGGCTACCGAGCACCTTTCCGTATCTTTCTGCACGAGAATATAGAGAGAAAGACACGAAAAGCTCCACTTGGAGCTTCCCGAAATCAGCCCAAAATGGGCTTATCATGTCTTTTCGAAGCACCGACTTTTGGCGGCTAGATCCATCACGAACCAAATGGAAAAAGACTGCGGCACGGTCTGCCCAGCTTGTAAACAGCCGAAAGACCGGGTGGAAACATGCACAAAACGGGCATTAAAAAAAAGGAAAAAATCTAATTACAAAACAATGATTAACTGTGTATATAAATCCTAATTAGCTCTAATAAGAGCCAATCACAATCAAATGAATTTGAACTGTTAACTTCACTAACCCATCATTCTTTAGCTATGAATTTGAACTGTTAACTTCACTAAACCATCTTTCTTTAGCTATATATCTCAGGTTTTAATCGGTACATTACCTTTATATGGCCTGGATTTTTTTTTAGAAAATGTATTTTTTAATGGTTGGGAGTAATTCGTTGATTTAAAATATAGCACTTCATTGAGTAGCAAAAATAGAAAATAAATAAATAAAAGGATCGTACATTTGGTATGTGTAAGTCATGTATAAAAGTTCAGTTCAGCCCTAAAAATATAGAGCTCGACGGTGGATTGAATCTGAGCGTGGATTGATGTTAAATCCATGGGTAGGATACGGTTTATAGGGAGCTACTAATAGACTATAATGAAACTGCAAATCAGATTTGTGTGCATTTGATGGAAGAACGGAGTTGACTGATATTGGGTTAGAAACTTTTGCACATCACTGGATGAAATAAAAAAAAAAAGTATTATTTTAATTCCTGAAATAGGGTGCTAAGAAATCACCTGTTACCACACAGTGCCACCACAGTGTCTAACAAGAATTTTAG